ATACCTACTTTCTGTTTTTAGCTAACATGCACGATATCTTCATAGACGATCTCGTAAGTGTTATTCATATCTTCTCTGCACATCATTCTTCTTTATTAATTCGACTCCCATGCCACATGTCATTATAATATTGGTCCACGTTGTGAGTTTATTTTTTACCGATACAGATAGTCACCCCACATTCTGAATAGTCTCAACTGAATATTCGGAAAGTCGGGAGATTATTCATAGAAGGAATGTTTTGTCCCTCTTCCCGAGATCATTATGATGTGCATAAGAAGTGAAGAGACCTATGTCCCTTCCATTTAATGTTCGAGACGCGTGTCTTACAATGATTGGCTCTGCAATTTGCAGCGATTTCTTAAGGTTCATACAGCTTTATGCCACGGCCTGAAATCCCAACCGTGGTGCCGTGATGGAGTCTAACACCGAATGCCAGATAAGCCAACACAATAGATGATACAAAATAGAGAAAAGCAATAAATGTCTGATAACTGGCTAATATCATAACATAAACCACCCCAAGATATGTTGTCATAAGTATATGAGTGTCTAGATCTAGCTAAATACAAGGTTTCAAAAGAAATACAATACTATCCGAAATAAAATGGAAACAATACAGTAGGTATAGGAAAGTTACTCTAGGGCCTGCGAACTGCAAAGGGATGCTGCTCTACCTCAAATCACTAACTGGTATCCGCTAAGTGCCTCTCGAAAGTCCACTGGTACCAATGTCAATATTTGCACAAGAAGTGAGGAAGTGTGGCATGAGTACAACCGACCCAGTATACTCGGTAAGTGTCGAGCCTAATCCCCATGAGGTAGTGATGAAGATAAGACAAGCCACCGACTAAAAACTTGCGCAAATATATATATATATATATATATATNATTACCAAGTATGTGTCTTTCCGAAATAAGCCACGAAAAGGTCAAGTTGAACTCGCAATTCAAGTATCAAGTAAAAGCAATAAAATCATCAAATTGCACGGCATCACCCTTCGTGATTTTACTCTCATTATCACCATATAATACAAATATAATTTTACGGCACCACCCTTCATATTTTTACTCTCAACCTCACCATGTAATATAAAAAAAGAATGTTCACGACATCATCCTTTGTGCTTTTACTCTTATCATCACGTGATAATGATAATAAATCAATTAAGTATATGTCATCACCGTTCATGCTTTAATCCTCACATTCACTCAATCAATGGTAACAATATGCAAATATGGAACGGTATCGTGCTTTTTACTCTTCTTCACGAAACAATAATAATAACCCAAAATATCAAGCAAGGTGGAAGAAAATTTCCACTTCAACAATGGGCTAGAATAAGCAATTTCAACTTCCAACATCACTATAACTTCAAAATAAGCAATAAACATGGAAGCAAACAATTAAATACTAACAATCTAACTAAGACATGGAAGGCATAGTAAATAAAACAACACAGTACAATAAGACAATTTTTACCCGTATGCTTTAACCCATGACAACATATATATACTCGTTACCTTATATATTATGCCGTCCCTCACATAATTCACTTAGCAAATAGACCAATAAGTCTTAATTCTCTCAAGTCAAAATTAACCACGATACATACCTCACTCCTCAATAAAATTAATAATAGATCACGACTTTGCCTTTCAAACAAGCATCCAAACCAACATAAGCTAGCCAATTATCGATCAAACAATTCAAATAAGATTTACAACCTACTCACAAATAAAAAAGGTTCAATTTTGATTATTTTTAAAAATTCAACAAACGTCAATCCCGACTTGCTTGGTCAAAATCTGAAATTCGGACCAAATCCCAATTCCCATTTACCCCGAGCCTTGTTATGTAATTCGTTTTGAAATCGACTTTTATTCGAGGTCTAAATCTCAGTTTCACAAAATTTCTAAATTCTACCCAATATCACTAATTTCTACTATGGAATTCACAGAATTGATGTTAAAATTAATGGAAAATTAACTGAAATTGATTGAATAGTAGTTAAAGTTGCTTAAAAATAAATTTGGGAAGAAAATCCTCTTCAAAAATCATCTCTATAGTTTTTAGGGTTAAAAATTAACGTAAAATGAGCTAAGTCCCGACATTCCCATATTTTATCCAGCAACATGTATCACAATTATGAACTCTTGTTCGCAATAGCAAATTCCGTGTTTGCGAAGCACTTCGCAAAACGAAAACGACACTCGGTGCCTGACTATAATTACCTTTTTTATTAGGGAGTAGAAACATTACCTTTTTAATGTCCAATCCTCTTGAACTCGAGTTCTAGCGTTTCTTTTCTCAAAAATGGTGCCTCAATCGAATAGCTAATAATTTGAAGGATTTACCCATGTTAATAAGGTTTTGGAGAATTGTAATTAACTTAGGATAATCGTTAGAGCTTACCTTGGATGATGGAGGGACCTTGGGGAAGTTAGGTTCTTGAGAGCTCCCCTTTCTAAAGTAGGTTTTCGTGTTTGGGGTGTGAGGGAAGGAGGTAGGGTTTTTAAATAAGTGAACACTTCCCAAAATTGAGAAGAAAAATAAAAATACCTCGGGTAAACCTCGCCGGCATGAGGCATCTCAGGGGCGTTAAAATAACATTGCAAGGCACCGTAAGAGGTGCCAAAACTACAATGTCTTGCACTGATTGAGACACTGGGGACGATGCCCTGGGCAGTGCCTTGCACTGTCTGGAATGCTGAGGTTACAATTCCTTGCACTGTCAGGGGTGCTGATATTAATGCTCGGAACAGTGCCTTTCACTGTCTATGGCCCTGAGTTTTCATGGCCTTGTACTATCTATTGCCATAAGACGAACCTCCCATAAACTTAGTCGAATCGATCGAATTTTATGCACCTCACTCTCTGTCTTGATTCTAAAATAATTGTTTCGACCTATATTGATCTTGATAGGGCTTTACATGTCTAAAAGGTCACATTAATACTCAGTTAATGCATCCACAACTAATTTAGATTTACGGGGTGTTACATTATCTCCCCCAAAGTATCATTCGTCCTCGAATGATTGTTCTGATTGTAACTACGACTTGCTTTAGACCTATATTGATCTCGATAGGACTTTACATGTCTAAGCTGGCATGAATATCTAAGTACTGGACTAACATGAATGTTCTAACATGAGATCTGAATACAGGAAACTTGAATGTTATAACATGACACGTGTGAGCATGTGATTTTTGCCCTATATGAAATACTCCTACAGAATCCAAGAAAATAGAATTTTTTAAATTATTTGTATTTTTCTGTGCATGTTTGATCTTATTTATATCATGAAAAAATACAAAAATATCATGCATTGTATTTAGGTTTGTTTTTTACATTTTTAGGTTTAATTAATTATTTATTTGCTTTATTAAAAATGAAAATCACAAAAAATGTCCCATATTGACATTTTTTCCTTTATTTTGAGAATTATTAATTTTTTCACCTTTAAGTTAGGATTAGTTGATTTTTATAATTTTTGAAATTAGGTAACTAGTTTAATTCTACTTTTTAGATTAATTTGGGATTTCCCTTTAATTAAAAAAAAGAAGAGATTAAATAATAATAAAAGAAAGAGAGAAAAATGATTTGAAGGTTCTAATACATAGTTTTGGGATGAAAATCAATTTGTTCCCCAGTTCCCTGGCCCAAAACCCATTCAAAACCGCCCCTGACCCAAACCCAATCCCTTCCATACCCGGTCAGACCCCTCATCTCCAAAACGATGCAGTTGTGTGACAAAACTACATCGTTTCATTTACCCTCCCCCATTAAACGACCCAAACCCCTTCAGTTCCCTTTAATCTAGTTTTAAACCTAAAAACATTAGATCCCCGTTCTTCTCTGGAATCACCGCCCACCTCCGCCATCTCTCCGCAGCCCGAAAATCGTCTCACAGCGGCGGAGCAGCTCCAATAGCCCCCAAATTTTGACCATCCAACCTCCATCATCCCCCCATTCATGTCCCGCTATTGGTTTCCCAAAAAGATCACCCGTTTTCTCCGAATTTGAAATGTAAGAAATGAAAATTCGAACTTTTCACTTTTGTTCGATTTTTCTTGACTTAGCCCTTAATTCATAGCAAAGCCCCGTGAATTCCCCAGTTTCTTCAACAAAATGATTCCGTTTGATATCAAGAATACCCTATCTCATGGTTTTGGCTAGATTTTGGGCAATTGGTTTTAAACGTTTCAATTTCTTTGAGCCTCTGTCTCGCCTTGTCTGAGGCATATGGTGAAAATTGTTGTATGAAGCACTAGCCATGTACGAATGTCCGGCTAGTATTCACATAACAATTCCCACCATTGGCAGAGTTTCGTTGGTTCATCGGAGTTCAAAGGGAGTCATTATTACCTTTGTTGAAGTTTATTAAAGCTCTTGTCAATCTAATTGGTATAGTTCTCATCCCTTCTCTTCACATTCATCTACTGGACCCTTTTTTTCTTTTCTTTTCTGTCCAAAAGTAATTAGGATTGTTTAGGGCATAATAGACATCAGTGTTTAATAGCTCGTTAGTTAGTTCTAATTATTTTCTTAATGTTTTTCTTAAAAGAGAGATGGATCAATAGCTTTTGTTTAAAAATATTGTTCTATTGTTCTGCATAAGGTTGTTTGATATTGGGTTTGAAACCCAAACTTGGTATGAAAAGCCCAAGAATTACTGGGCTTAAAGTTTAAATGACCCAGGTCCAGTACCACTGGTTTTAAACCAATAGAACAGTGAAAAAAATAAAAAGAAAAGAAGGGTAAAAAAAAAGGGCTGCTAGGGTTTGAAATTGGATAAGTTTTAAAGGAAGCTTCTAGAAAGCTGACAAGGATCCTATTAGAGATAAAGGAGGGGGAATATTCTTTGGGGTAGGGGTGCAAGTGGTTTAAAATTAAAAGTTAAAGGGTGCATTTGAGTAAAAGAAGACAGGGATGGTGCCCTAAATATCCTTTATAAAAAGATCCTTTTCCAATCATTAGGGCACAAAAAAAGGGTGAAAAAACACAAACGGCTGAAACCAGCTCTTTTCCCAAAAAAAAAAAGATTCTGAAGAAAACTTTTGAGCTTCTTTCTATTTTTTGGGGTTTTGCTGAGAGTTTTTCAGAGATTGGAACAACGTTTTTGGGGCTTGATTCACTGTTTGTTTGCTATGTTTGAGCTAGAAAACTGCAGGCTGCTTTGTTTCTTAGGCTATTTTCCATTTGCTAGGTATTTTTTCTGAACTTTCTTATATGCTTGTTTGAGTTGCCTTGAATGAAATGTTGATTTCTTAAATCTTTGAGCTTAAATGAAGCTGGTTTGTTTATCCTTGCCATGTTCTTTGGAATTCCAGCCTTGTTAGAAGCTTTAAACCTGTTTAGTTTGGGATTCTGTTCATGTGTTTTTTTTTAATTGGTGTAATGGTTGGAGTAAGAATACAATAGAAATGGTCTATAGATATTGTGTGTTTGATTGAAACATGCCACATTCTTCTTTTTCTTTCTTTCAAGAACATTATTGTGCATACTTGTGAGTAGGTATTATCTTTTGGTTTTAAACTGTAGAAACAAGAATTTTTTTTTACTATACATGGGCTGTATAGGAAGCATGTAGATTTGTCTTTGAATTTGAAGAATGGAAAGTTATTTACTATTGATCACTTGGCTGAAGTTTGCAGATCTGACCAATATTTGGATAGATTGGTAGGCTATAAAGCTGAGGAAAGAGTTTAAAGTTTGCTGGAAAAGGCTTTGAAAGCTGAAGATTTAATTAGACCATGTATAAGTTTAATCTATCATTTGATTTCATATACGTTAGAAAGTCACCGATTTCCTTTTGTACATTAGTTTTGTTATTTAAGTACCATAAGTCTGATTATTTGTATAAGGAATCTTGAATCCATTTATTGTATTGGATTTGTTTGAAGTTAGCCATCAGCCCCGTAAAGGTTACTAGCTGAATGTTTGAGGGTAATTTTTATATACAGTATAAAGCCTGAATATTAAGATTTTTTTTTTTTTTTTTTTTTTTTTTTTTAAAAAGGCNACTTTTTCCTTAAATTTTTTTTTTTTTTTTTTTTTTTTGTTTTAAAAAGGCAAAGATTGTAAATGTTAGCTTTTAATAGTTCCTTTCTGTCGTATCTATGTTTTTGGCATGCTGATTCATTACCATTGGTATGGCCATTTGTGTAAAGGGTTTCTTTGTATAGCAATCTATTGTTTTGGGCTTGGCTGAAATTAGTCATCAGCCCATTAAGGATTCCCAGTAGATCATTCAAGTGTTTAAAAAATGGTATCATATATCTGGCCCATTTTCCTATAGTTAGAATTCATGATTTTATATCCTAACTCAATTCACTCGTTTTGAGTTCTAACTTGGTTGTATTTATTTTCTTAAGTTTTAGTTTTGCTAATTTATTTATGATGAAATGAAGTATACAATTGCCAAGCCCCTTTTATTATTAAAGTTATTGGGCTCAAGCTAGGCCCAACAGAAGAAGCGGGTGGATTTGAAGTCCTAATACTTCTGAGAATCCAAGACATTTCTGTCTTGGACTCATTTCACTAACTTTCGCAAGTAAGGGGTTTTCGAATCAACTCTAGGTTAAAACGAATGAGTTTTAGTTTGCTGGACGTTTTATTTATTGAGGTGTGCCATTTACCATCAAACTTCATAAGGCCCTTATACTAATACCATCTAGTATAGAAAACACTTTGAATACTCCCTAGTATGCTTTAGGCACGCGATTAAAATTATTAGAACTACGGGTACGGTTTCGGTGACGTAATTGTGATAACTAATTTTAAATTAGATTAAAATAGGAGCATCTTTAGCTTGCTTTTAAAATATATAACCTTTTTTTCTAAATAATTTGAGGTGTGCCATATTTTAAACTTATAATACATGACCCTCACAAAATTAGATCGAGAGCTAATCTTTTTTTTTTAAAATAACTTGAGGTGTTCCATACACAAATAAAAATCCTATAATCTATGGTCCTCACATAAATACAAAATTAGTATAGAAAATGTCCCGAACTTCCGTAGTTTGTTTTAAGTGCGTTAATTAAATAATTTTCATAGCTACGGGTACGGTTCCCGTGACGTAGTCGTGACGTATAATTACTTAAATCCGGGGGTATATTTATGTGACCCGATAACAATTTAATCTTTAATAAATTAAACATGTTGTAGATCATGGGTTCGGTTCCCGTGACATGATTCGTGATATATAACAATAATTAATTAAAAGCGTTTTAAAAGGTTAAAAATGCACAATAAGTATAAAAATGTAATTAATTAGATAATTAGGCCAATCTTAATAGTTTAAGCGACCGTGCTCGAACCACGGAACTCGGGAATCCCTAACACCTTCTCCCCGATTAACAGAATTCCTTATCTAGAATTTTTGGTTCGCAGACTTATAAAGTAAAGTCGAAATTTCTTCGATTCGGGATTTTAAAATAAACCGGTGACTTGGGACACCAATTAAACTATTCCAAGTGGCGAATCTAATAATTTAAATTAAATAATCTCATTTCGAATAATGTCACTTAAATTGGAAAAACTCCTTCATGTACCCCTCTGGGTGTAAAAAGGAGGTGTGACAGCTCTGGCGACTCTGCTGGGGAACAAAACCCAGAACTTCGGTTCAGCGTTCAAGAATTCGATCTTAGAATAACTGTTATAATTGGATTTTATTTATTATCTGATTTTTATTACATGTTTGGGCCTAATGTGCTAAATGTCGCTTTTTACCGCTTTGATATTATTTGAACTGTATATAAACTGTTACGAAACCCTTCTATTCTCATCTTCGGGGATATGCATGCTGGCGTGACTCCTCTTTCTGTTAGTGTCATACCTTGAATTAGAAAGAGGCTCGGACAAGTTACAAAGCCGGATGGCCTTTTGGTTCCCGGTATGTAGCCCCCCTCGGCTCGAGTTGTCCGCTCGGGTACACCAAGTCTAGAACAATATACCCAGGTTTTTAAACTTAGAATAACTCAGCCTCATGCCATATCCCTAGTAGGAACGCTTGTTTGCATCATCTTCATTTGACTTTGGGGACTCAACACAGGGGTTGGGTCCGTCTTGGACAGGTGGACCCCAGAATCAAAAGACCATCCTGATGCATTTTTACGTGCTACTTTTGTGCAATTATTTGCTTCGGTTTGCATGTTGACCGGTTGCTAGAATAGGGTGGAATTTGAAAAAATAAAATTGAGGTATGAAAGAGATAATTACCCGCCTTTGAAAAAAAACCTGTTGTCCAAAGTATACCGAAACTCTGGTGAAATTGTGAAAAAAATGGTTTTAAAATATTTTATTATGTCAAAATCGACCGAACTACGCAAGTTTGATTCTCACCGGATGTGGGATACGTAGGCAACCCTCACCGGGTCCAACGCCATTTTTCCAAAAAATAACCCAAAAAATGAAATGTTGTTATAAATAAAATTATGTAATGTCGTTCTTGTCTAAATAGCCCAAAATGTCCCAAAAAAGACTCTGGAAGGCTGTTTTTGAAAGAATAACCACTTATTGCCCATTTTCAAATTTTTGGCTACCTAGTAAGCACAACCTTAAAATTTTCTTTTTCAAAGTGCTGAAGGGTCGTATTTTCAAAAGTAGCCGTGCTATTTAAATTTTTTGCAAAATTGACCTCTTTTATGAAATTCACCTTGTTTTAAACCAATCACCTTAATTTAAATGCGCAGAATGAGCATGAGTCAAAACTTGCCAATCAAGGTCATGACCAAGATTCCTTTGGAACTATATATGCGGTGGAAAGATCTGGGTGAATCAGGACGAGATGTGTCAACCTTTACTTGGGGGGTCTCACTGGGTTATTGAAGATCAGTCCTCGAGGAGACATAATAAAAGCACTTGTTACGTTTTGGGATCCAGCTCACAACGTGTTTTATTTCTCGAAATTTGAACTCACACCCACTTTGGAAGAGATAGTCGGCTATGTTGGGAGTCCGAAGCTTTGAGACATAAATACCTGGTTGCCCCAAAAGCTGTTACTCCGCACAAGTTTCTAGATTTGCTAAAGATAAGCAGGGGGTCCAATACCCAGATTTGGCAGTTGGGTTTTCCACTCCACAGTTCATATACCAGCGATGCAGACACATAGGGGGGTTCAACAATCAAGAAAGCAAAATCTGCAGCAAAGGGAATCGACTAAAATGGGAAGAACATAGATGTTTCGCTTTCATGGTGGTATTTTTGGGTCTTCTAGTGTTTCGCATGAAAGATGGGAATATCGACGTACGGATAGCCGGGGTTGTCAACACTTTGCTTGCTCAGGCCAAAAGCACCCTCGCACCCATGATAGTGTCTGAAATATTCTGATCTCTCACGGCCTGCAAAGCCGGAGCAGACTTTTTTGAAGGGTGCAACTTGTTGCTACAATTGTGGATGATTGAGCATCTATGTCATCGTCCCCAGTACATGAACTATGGGTCGACGGCGGAAAGCTGCATAGAGGAGTTTTATGCAATGGTCGACGGGTTCAACATGCCATAAGGAGTCGCAGAATGGATATTTTGCCTCCGCTTCGTCACTGAAAATCAAATAGAATGGACGTTGGGTTGGCTTCCTATTGATGAAATCATAAACATGCCAGCCACCGGTCCCCACTTCCTCCTGATGGGTCTCAGAAGTATCCAGCCTTATGCCCCATACCGGGTTTTGAGATAGCTAGGGAGATGTCAAATAGTGCCAAAGGATGAAGACCTTAGCCTTCATGTGGTCGAGATCCGTGCTGATGGCTAGTTTTACGAAAAAGTGGTTCCCCAGATTTGGCGTAAGTGCTAATGTCTGACAGCAAATGCCCGAGTACGTGATCTATCCAGAGGTGCAGTCTCACCTGGTTACCTCGCTTGGTACAAGAGGAAAGTTAAGTTAGGAAGGCTGGCTAAATGACCCCACCTCCAAGAATTTGTTGAGGCATCACAAGAACAGTGGGAGTGGTTGACAAAAGAAAATGAATATTGGGCCACCGTAAACAGGTTAGAAGGACAGATTAGAGACCTTAAGTTCGATAGTGATGTGCAAGCTGCTGCAGATGAGGGTGAGAACAAAAAATTAGCCCAAGAAAATGAAGTCCTCCGGGCCTAGATCGAAAGGATGAAGGTAGCTGCTGAGAACCGGAAAGAAGCCGAGCAGATGAAAGACTCATTAATGGCCTCAAGAAAAAAATATGTGAGTACAGGGATGATTTAGAAAAATCTGAAGGCAGTTTGGCAAGAGCTCGGGCACAGTTGGCAAAGAACGCCAAGGGACGGGCAGAATTTGTTCGACAACTAAAAAGGAAATACGATGGAAAAGTCACAAACTCGAAGAAAAAGCTAACCACCCTCGAGAATAAGATGGCCAAAAAAGCAAAGAGCTTCAAAGCCGAGAAAGAACATTGCTATGCTTTGATGGCATATCTAGAGGGAGACCTACATTATTTGCAAGAACAGAATCACACTGTCACTCAGGTCTTGGAGGCTAGATCTCAGTAGATTGGGCGTTTGTTGCAAGAGAAGGGCATCATCGCGGAAAGGGTTAGAAGAATCTCAGACTACATTGTGACGAAATGCAACGAGTGTGAGGACATGACCAGGTCCATGTTCTTCACCACAATAATGATCTTTGTCCGCCAAATAATGGATGATCTCTACCGCCTCCAGGATGATATGGCGCGTAGGCCCGCAGCAAGACTAGTTGGTATTCCTATAGCAGGATTGGAGGCATTGATATACTCCTGATTATTTTCTCTTTTTTCGAGTCTGTATTTTCATTCCTAAAAGTCTGTTTCAAGTCTATTTTAGTTTTCAATTCTCAAGTATGTAGGATCGAGTCTTTCTAATAGAGAAAAATTAAAGGTCTTGTTTTAATGAAATTTTGAAAAAACAAAAAATGTTTTACTTATTTTACATTTTATTTCTTGAACTATGTGATGATCTGATTTACGTGGCGTCGTGATACATAGGCAATCCTAATCGGATCCGATCATGATTTCTGTAAATAACTCAAATAA